CGTGCGGCTGCGCGGGGTGCTGAAGGCCGCGCGCCGCCCTGAGGCGATTTGCGCCGCCGTCCTTCAGAGCCCGGCGGGAAATGGAGCAGGTATCGGTCTGGCGGGCGCCTGTCCCCCTCTGAGGGGGGCTTCTGTTCGGGGCTGCCCGGGGACGGTGGCTCAGTTTTCCGCTATTAAGGGGCCAAGATGCTGTAATGAAACGGTGCTGGCTACAGCGGTGCGCTAGCCAAGTGAGTGCATCCCACCCATAGGAACGCCTCAGAAGCGAGAGAACACGCTCCCTTTCAAATTGTGTGGCGATTTATAATCCAAACCACAACAAATTGCTGCTCCTGTGCAGTACGGCACAACTTGTATGTGGAAAATCAGAGGTGGCCAGTGAGTTCATCGTGCTGCTGCTGTTCTTTTCGCAGATGGACCAGGGAAGGACACCTCAGACCTAATGAGGCAGTGGCATCAGCTATACATTACACTGGTGGCAATACTGAGAGAACGCTACCTCTGGTATGTAGAAGCTGATACATACACCTCTGGGATCTTACAAATGTGCATTTAGTCCAAAATGCTTTCAAAGTGTTCAGTGACAGCGAAGGAGAGTAACCTTGAGGATTACCAGCAGTTCTGTCAAAAACTTTAAAAGCCGTGGAGCTCCATTTGGCTAAATGAGCTACTTGAATCCCACGTTTTATTCACATTAAACTTCCCCTTTTTTCGTTCATTCTGGAATGCCACTGTCTTCCTGAAAAAGCTTTTGCTTCTTGGGAACTTTGTTTTCAGTTCACCTGCATAAACCTGAAATTCAGCTGCAGTTTTGCAGAATCTCAGCTCTGGCCCCTTCACCCTACACAGGCAATGGGGACCTCCCTACGGCCAGAAAGAGGCAACAAGGGCAAAAACATTGCCTGTACACTGGCAAGGAAACTCATGGAACCTCTTGTTCCCTCAGGAATCCGGGCAAGAAAAGGTGGTGCTTTCCATGACACAGTCCTGTTTGTAGGCTCTTTAAAATAGCAGTGAAGTAACTAATAAGCATGACTTACTAGCTGGTACAAACACATCTGAAAACATCTGCTTCCAAAACTGTTCCCGTGGTCACACCACCACCAAGACTGACAACCCTTTGGCCTGGGCAAGGCTAAAACAAGGTATGGTGCCAGTGAGATAGGATGTTCTTTTGGGAGACCTCCCTGAAGTGTCAGGCCGTCAAATACAAAGCCTATTTCCTGTAGTTCAGTAACTACCCTAAAGATTTTCATGCATGAGATCAGTAACATTCTTGCCCTCTGAGCATTCCTCAATCAGATCTTTCTAAAGAAAGCTCTCTTGACAGAATGAAATGGCATCATCTGTTCTCATATAATTTTTGGATCAATGTAGGAAAATGAGGTTTGTGTGAAGGGCTTATCCCCAACCTCAGAGCTTCCTTGGTGCACTCCTTCCTAGGAATATCCTAGAACTATTTAAAGCTGCTTAAGAAATCCCCCTCACTCCCACAGGGATGGTTACTACCTTTAGCAAACACTGAAATTGCTTTAATGAAGTATGGCTAGATCAGAGCACAGCACGAAGAAGAGCAGTGCAGGCAAAATACCAGTTGCTGATTTCCAGGAGAGCCTGGGTGGCTATATACTCCTTGGTAAATTCCTGTGCTAAACACTAATGCTTGTATAGAAGCTCTGCAGTCATGGCCAAAATTGTCACTTTTCTGAACAGGCTTTATTTCCTGTTTGTGTGACTTATAGTTAAAGATCCATTTATTTCTAGACTATATAGCCAGAAAGCAGGGTAAAGAGGATATGAGGTATTGATTTCAAATGTATGCAAAAGCATTTCCCTGTCTGTGATGGAGTAAAATGACACGGTCTTCTTTTGTAGCTCCAGGAAAACTCCAACCTTCAATGGTTTATCGTTGTGTAATAATGTTTCTTGATCTCTATGCCATGCTGACAGCTGCTTTTTGGGACCTAGCCATTCTACACACCAGGAATGCTCTGTTCTTCCTAATTTGTCCCTTTTACCAATCATTTCATGAGCAACTCCAACAGCCCATCCATCACTGTCCTTGGTAATTACTTCCCAGTAGTGGCACCCAGTAGAGAAGCTCTGTGAACACATCACTTGGCTGATGCAGAATCTGTTGGGCAATGGTTCATAATCAGTCGGGTAGCTGGAAACCATTACCTTCCTGTTCTGGGCCGTGATTGCTAAGCACTTATATACTCTCGTGAGATCAAAAGTCACATCATCTGCCCCTGGAAGAGAGAAAGGAAAATATTCTCACCTGCAGGCAACAAGAAGACAGATCACCTCAGTATTTATGCACATCCTAAATAGCAGTGAATGTGCATCCCTAGTCAAGAACAGAAATGAAAACCAATGATTATACAATAAACCTTAATCAAAGTTCAATCCTGCAAATCAGCAAGAATGCTCAACCAAACACTAACAACTGTATCCTGAGCCCAGTGCATACTGAAACATTTAACAGACACAAATGAGTAAACATCCATGACAGACTCATGCACTCCAGTGGGAAGGTGAAGGTACTTGTCACCCTACAGGATGGGTCTTACTCCTAGCCACAGTCTTACAAAAAAATTACCCTTTTGCTAATAATAAATGGGATGCTTACCTTAATAAAATTTACATAGTCATTGAGAAGTGTTCTTGCATATTTTATCAGCAAAAACATTTGTTTTGTGTTTTAAGATACAGATATAGTACTGTGTGTTGACTGTAAAAATATTTCTGTAGAAATGATGCAGAATTCAGACAACAAATGGAGTCATTACAGCTTAACACACTAAAGATCACTAAAGGTGTGGTAACTGCCTATACACCAACTCAGACTCTGCAGCCAGCAAAGCTACAACACAGCTTATATACCTCCATGAAACAGGTTTCTTATCCTTTTCATCTTGTATATGCAGTCAGGTAGAGTATTGCATTATACTGCAGTAACTGATGAATTCATGGTAACTTCATTGTGTTTCTATGCTTCAGGTAAACAGCCAGATCTCCTGCTGATGTTTGTAAGTACAGTTTTCTTCAGCAAAACCACAGTCTCATAGTCACTTGAATATTGTTATTGAAAAGTCACGCTGGCTTGCATACTTACACTGAGAAAACTGGCTTGAAATCATTGGTTCTGGATTTTTAGCTGCAGACTCTGGAGATAATGAGCAGACATTTGTCTCCTGATGTAAGTCGGGAGGTTGCACTAAATATGAAAAAATTAAAGTGTTAAGGCATTTCTTCAAGATGTAAATAGGAAGTATTTATACTTCCAAAGGAAAACATACATAAAATAAACCTAGCTAGTGGTTAAAGTACAAAGCAAAGAGTTACTTTTTTCATTGTATAAATTATTAGAGAATGTATAGGCAAACATTTTTATCCAAAAATGCATGCTGCTGCCCTAAGTGTGGTCAGAACGGAGCATTCAGGAAAGTTAGATAGGTAAAGCAGATCTTTCTATGCAGATAAGCCAGTTTCTGTCATAAAAGTGTTTACAGTGTTCTGAATTTATTTTCTGAGTATTATGTGTCTCTTGTGTTACTTGCACATGCATTTCATACGCACAAAGTAATTTTTTACTCTAATTGCTGACCAAAAAGCCTGACATTCAGCCCTACAGCTTGAAGGGCTGTTTCTAATTCTCTGTGACATTATAGTACATATTTAGAAGACTCATTTGCAGACACCTTCCGGTATAGTTACATAATACATTGGCTTCATCATGAAAGCCATCCTTAAAAGTTCCTGCCCCACACCTCTGCCCGCTGATTCCTGGATTTTGCTACTAAAAATGATTGTGGAGCAAAGCTGTAAACTCAACTGCTGACATGATTGAGATAGATAGATAAAGAAAAACCCTGAGGTAAAAATATGAGTAAGTATCTGGCATTTTTGAGAACCAGTGCTTGAAAAAGGCAAGGTAGTATTGGAAAGCGTGGGAAGGGGAGGATTGCCCCTGAGTGGCAGGGGGGTTTAGGTCAGTCTTAAGTTACCCTCAAAAACACTCAGTGGTCTCTCTACAGCAGACAGACAGTGCTGGGAGGAGGAGAACTCCATAGCAAAGGCCATACCAGATCTAAAGCTTTGCTGAGACACAGCTTTTAGTGGGAGGGAATTTTATGTCTGCTCTTAGCAAAGACTTTGCTGTTACGTTACTCTATATTTAGAAAAAAATATTTAAATTGATTATATTTCACTCTCCACTACTAATATGCAGGTCAGTCTTTTTCTTCTGGGCTCCCGCGAAAGTAAAAAGTAATCATGTTGTCTCCAAAACTGCAAGAGGTTTTATAATAATCACACACAGGTATACCTGTTTTCTCTGAAGGACCCTGCTAGATCCACTCCCTCTAAGAAAGAGATTTCAAAATAAGGAAAACTCACCTGGTGGGAACTGCCGAGCGTATTTCTCCAGAAGAAGAAATTCCAACTTTCTCTTAAGATCTTCTACAGCAGTTTTGACATGATTAAGCTTCTCATCAAGTGTAATTTTAATCATTGTTGAAGACGAGCCTTTGTACCTATGTCCCTGGGGTAAGTTACTCTAACAACAACATAAAAGAATCAAGGGGAAGATGTAAACAATAGCAGGTATTTCATCTAGCCTACCAGATTATATTACAAAGCCAGAGTGGAAAACCGGCAGTGATTCTAAAATATTATTTGTATTGAGAGCTTCCTTTGTAGGGTACTTATATGAGAGAACTAGCCTGAGATCTTACAGAAAATATGAAAGGATAGTTTATTCTTAATAAAAAATAAAATAGTTTGTTTTCCCCAAGAAAACTAAGAATGGGACTAATTTTTCTTATCCATATTACAATTTCCTTAAGTGTACACATGCATACACAAACTTTCTCTTTTTAAACTTTCTTCTTGTTCTAGAACCCAAATCAAAAGTTTTAAAATGCATTAGTATGAGATGTAGCATAAAATACCCATGAAGGGATAAGCCTCATTTGCCTAAATTTAGAACCTGTGGAAATCTACATCTGAGCTTGTTCTCTTGGTCTGCCTTTATAGTTTGTAGAAAGAAACAGGCGTTTTGAAGGCTTAGTTAACCTCATTTGCAGGTAGGATCTCAAGTAGGCCAGATGACTCATGCTCTAAAAGTACCCATTTCTCTTCATTGCCTATAACGGGACTCTGGATCAGATATAAATTATGTGAGGTAAATATAATAATACAATATAAGTTATTATAATAATAATTACAATAATTATAATATAACAGTTTAATATACTAATTATATTATTATATTATATTTATAATAATATAATAATAA